CTGCACATGCATCATTTCAGGATTTTAGACTGCCAAACTTGGATGCCTCTACCCTCAATCAGCAGGTAGAAAAAAGGAGCTTGGAGTAGCTTCCTAGGATCAACAATACAAGACAGCAGTTTTACCTTGCAGATCCCTCTGGCCGTAAGCATATGGGTAGCATCAGTGTACCTTCCCTTAGATCTGCCTGCTCACTATGACTTGTGTGTTAACTGCTTGGAGACATACACAGGCCACCCTGGAGCCAATTCCTGACATTGCCACCAGGCACCTCTGCAGGAGCATGCTTCCTTCACAGACTTGTTAATGTTGCCTGGAAATACCAGGTTAGGTCACCTCCAAAGGCTATTCCAACCCCACTGTGAAAGCAAACAGAGTGGGAGCAACCTATTAATGTAAAGCAAAGGTGTGGGAAGGAAAGAAGGAATGCCCACAAAAGGCAGCTTCTTAAATAGCCAAAGTTAAATCCATCAGTAGATGTTTGCCTCTGCCTTCGGAGCTTTTTTATTATTAACAAAAGCTCCCATCCTGGCTAAGTAAAACTTTAAAAGTTGTGGGACTATAAAATTATTTACTTTTGCACTGTGATAAAAATATTCAGGAAACCTTATTCTTTCTCTGCTCACTCCTAACAACTCTCATTCCAACAAAGCCAACAAAGACCTCAGGCAGCTGGATGAGTTAGCCAATAGTAAACATATAGTTTGAGGAGTAAAAAAAATTAGCACACTCAAAGTATTAATTTATGTTTAAATAAATGCCTTCATTAGCAGCATGGTTTTGAATCACTGCATACCAACAGGGGAAGGCATCCAGCTCTACTGGATGACCAACAAATGTCAAGGATCAAAACATAGCTTAGCTTCAGTTTCTTCTTTAGCAGCTTAGAGATCAATAATTTTGAAAATGAAGGAAGAGCTAGACAAAAACAACAACAAAGAAAAAGCAAGAAGTGGGATTAGCAAAGCCATGCTTTTGGTATGTTTTAATTGTAAGATGTTAAACAAGTAATTTACCTTGCTAGGTCAATGAAAAGTAGCAAAAATTAATTACAGTTTAGTGGATTTTATTCTTAAGCTAAGATTCATGCCTTGAATTGGAAAAAAAATAGTAAAATAAAAAAGGAATACACAAGCTCCATTCCAATTACACTGTTCATATGTTGCCACCAAAGAACAACTTAAGTTTCACACATCTTTCCTGAAGTATAAACTGAAGATGTACTGTAGAAATTCAAGGATAACTACACAGTCCTAACAAACAGGTTTGGGTAACACAAAGTGACACATTTCAGTACATATTCATAAGGGTTGGGGGTTATTATTGGACTGTAATTGCAGTTGTTCTAACACCTAATAAGCCATGGCTGGAAAAACAAAGGCAGGTTAATTTGTGATTTCCTCTACTCATTCAGAGGCAAATTAAGTGTCAAACAGCTAATACAGAACATATTTCATTTTATGAGATTTTAATTTAATTCTGCACCATATCGTTGATGCCTTAATGTAGGGTGGTTTATCTAAGAGGAAGAGCAATTTATAAACCTCTTTCAATTGAAATCTTTAATGATAGGATACGATAGCGTAATTACAGCAATGCCTGCTAGTCCTACCATACATAAGCATCTGTCAGCAATTCCATCATAAACATAAACCCGTATTTTAGGGGTTTATAGCTCAAATTACAAAATTTGGCTCCAGGCTGAAATTTGGGATACAACAGTTCTGCCCATCAGCAATTAAACTACAAGAATTATATATGGAAATACATAACTCTTGTAACACCTTAAAAATTCCTCCTTTCCCTTTTCTTTTTCACTTGGCCATTGTTCAAAGTTACGTGCACACATTGTAGGTATCATGTGGACAAGGCCCGCTCCAAATTTTTCCTGAACTTGTATTATACCTAAACTAATTCCACTAAGGCTTGACAGGTTCTGGAACACATTTCTAAGAGCTTGGATCACTGGAACGATGTCATTTTTTTCTCCCTTTTTTAGTTTATATTCTATACACACACACATTTGAGAGCATTATGAAGCTGAGGGTAAAAACACTCATACAATGAAATCATTGATGAAGCTGTGGGTAAACATTTGTATCCTGACTGGGGTTCTTGCCATTTTATCTCACAATTCTCAAGTAACTTCTCAGACCCAGTTCTTATTTCTTCTTGGATGTTAGTTAGTTCAAGTAATGGCTCCACATGATCCTAAATCAAACACTCCTAAGTCATAACCACACCAGGTTCTGCAAAACTTGCAAGAAAACTAGTGGGTGTTTACCTCACACATACGTTAAAACATAATCCTGGGAAGTCCAAAAAAGCATGACAGAATTAACATCTACAAAGCAGCTGCTGGAGTCACAGTGATCAGCTCCTCATTCCAACAGTGACGCAAACCAAACGAGCAGAAGAATGGACAGAAGTTAACAGAAAAATCAACAGCTGATATCAAGGAAATTCTGACATTAAAGCTTGGGCTGATATCAGAGAGTATTTTAAAGCAGCTGCCTGCAGTCATATCACATCACACTAAGATCTCCTCGCCTCTAACAAGCCTCTGCAGGGCCTGGCTGAATCATGGCTGCCCCGCGGGGTACGGCGGGGAGCATGGCGTACAGTGCACAGCATGTTTCCATAGAAGGGCATTGATTTTGGCATCAGAGGGGACTATCACTGAACACCAAGTGAGGCAGGAAGCAGCATTTTCAACACCTTTTGTGTCTAAGAAATTCTGGCACTTCTAGCAGCATAGGCTGTCCGATTTCCCATAAGATGAGAGAACAGTTTGGGCTGGAAGGGACCTTCAAAGATCATCTCATCCAACTCCCCTGCATTGACACCTTCAACTAGATCATGTTGCTCAGAACAACATCCAGCCTGGCCTTGAACATTTCCAGGGATGGGACATCCACCACCTCTCTGGGCAACCTGGGCCAGTGTTTTAACACCCTCATTGTAAAGAATGTTTTCCTCATGTCCAGCCTGAATCTCCCTCTTTTAGTTTAAAACCATCACCCCTTGTCCTACCGCAACAAGCCCTACCAAAACGTCTCTCTCCATCTTTCTTATAGGCCCCTTTTAAGAACAGAATGGACACAATAAGGTCTCACCAGAGCCTTCTCCTCCCCACGCTGAACAAACCCAATGCTCTCAGCCTTTCCTCACAGGAGAGGTACACCTGACCTTGAAGCACATTTGTGCCTCTCCTCTGGACCCTCTCCAAAATGTCCATGTCTTTCCTGTGCTGAGGACTCCAGAGCTGGATGCAGTACTGCAGGTGGGGTCTCACCAGAACAGAGTAGAGACGGAGAATCACCTCCCTCGACCTGCTGGCCACACTCCTTTGGATGCAGCCCAAGATGCGATTTCCCACTGTCACCTGAAGTGGGGAACAGTGGTCTATCCACCCAAAAGTTTTGCCTGTGGGTGCAAGGTGTCGTGGCATAGGTTGGGTTCATGGGGCTCAGCATAGAGCAAGTACAGCCAAGCCAGGTCACACACGGCACAGGATCCAGAAGCCTCCGTGAAGACCCACAGATAGTACCCAGGTTTTGTGACAGTCCTGATGCAGGTTAAAACACCTCCTGGGACATCCTACCCCACCTGCCTTGCACCAAAGACAAAGACAAATTCCCCATTAGCTTCAGAAGGAGCAGGATCACCCCCTCCAGCTCCCCAAAACACTCAGCAGGACATTCACTGCACCACAAAATCTAGGATGGCCGTGTGCTGACTGCCTGAGCCTGCCACCTTCAGCTTACAACTGCTTTTAGCAGCAAATTTAAGCGTGTATTCGAATATACTTTATGATGTGGTTGACTGCAGTGTAAATAGTGATGCATCAGAAGAACTCTTGAGGAATAAATCACAAGTTTCTGTACTCTCTATAAATACCCACTTTTCCTCTAATGCCCAAGAAGACTGCAACACAGATTGATTACTTACCTTCAGGCAAATATGCTCTGAAATTACAATTCAGTAATAGAACGCTGACCCAAAAAACTGTTAGTAAAATATTGTGTGTGTACTTGGGCATGTAGTTAGGATTGTTAATATCAATTAATTCTGCTCACAGAGGAGGACTTGTTTTAAAACAACTTCATTTTTCTTCTGCATATATGTAATTACACAGCTGTAACTAATAGCCATAGCAAAGCAATCTGCCATCTAAACAACTAGCATTATTCTTCAAAGTATTACTCGTGCTTTTCTTCTTGTATTTTCTCAGTATGAGAGGTGATTAGTAGATATGATTAAATGTATGTATCAAGCCTTTTAGCGAAGTACCAAGCCCTGCTTTTTGGCTCCATTTTTAATGGTATATAGCAGTTTTCTGGACTCAACTGTTTTATTCTGCAATGCTGATATCCGTCTCCCTACAAAGAATAAGATAATATTTATTTCTGCAGGATTTCACCACTACCACCCTTTTCTAATGCACGTTATCACTGGTATTCATTTCTTTTATCTTTGTGTAAACCATGTGCTCTATCACATTTGCCATTTTGTTTGGGTGACATTCCCATCAATCAGCCGATTGCCTGTGTGTGCACACAACAGGGACTAGGAAAATTTACCAAAAATTTCATTATGCTTCATAGCAGTCATTGGAAAAATAAAACCGTTGGCATGAGAGGGAATTTTAGCTATGAAGAATCCCAAGCCTAATACAGACAAAATGCATGTTTTGTCTGGCTGTATTTCACAGGGTTCAGCACTTTTTAATGTAGTATTTACAGAATGACAGCACACAGAATACATGTCAGCAAAATATACAGGTAACACTTGCCAGACACCTATTATAAAAGGAATTCCTCAGGAATCCAGCCTGGATTTTGCTTCACAAATGGATAACCTCAATGCTTTCCAGAAGTAAGTCTTGCTCTCCAGCAAGGCTGGCAAAGCACTCCAGGGGAATGGATTTGAGCACTGCAAACGTTCATATACTTGCCCATTCTTCCAGGCTGAAGCGAAGGGGAACACTGAATACTCACACATGCAGAGGAGGAATGGGAGATGGTTCGTAATGGTAGCGTCCCTCATGATGTCTTGCATCAATTGGTACAGGAGGGTGGAATGCTGGGAAGAGGTGAGGCGGATCTGAAAAAACAAGCGAGGTTCCCAGGTCTGAGTATCTCCAACAACTCTTGAAAATCAACATTCATAAGGACTACACAGACATTGAAAAACACGTGTCCGCAGTGCCATGGCTGCCAGATCGCATCCTCCTTCCCTGCTGCAGTCGGTCAGGTCTGTCTAAGAGGAGAGTCTGGCCCACAGTGTTTGCATGAATATGTACTTACTAATTTCAATATTCTCTTTTTATAACTTAAATGGAAAGGGACGTAAAGAAGTCTTCAATAAATAATTATGTGCCCATATGTGTAGTGTCAGATCAAAAGGACCATAAAAGCCTTTCATAAGCATTCCTGATTTATTTATTTTTTATTAAAACAAGAAAAAAAAGAAATCATCCCAGGACAAAAAGCCTACGCAGAGAATCCAATACAACAAAACCCCACTATATCCTCAGAGATGTACACACAGTCCTACAAGAGAAAATACAACTGAAGCAGCATAATGAGATATTACTACCTGGAGTAAATCAGACAACGGAGTTAAAAGGAAGGGCAGTTGGGAAAGGCCTTATTGGAGATGCTTAACTGTGTCACACTGATGGCCACATCCAGAGGAATGTGTCTGAGGACAGGGGGGCTCATTCCACACACCTCTCTCGAAAGGAAGGGTGCTTTCTTTGTCCCCACACTGCAGTAAGCTCCCCTGCTCCATCCAAGGCTTCCGCAGGACAGTGGGTTTGCAGCTGCCAGGGCTCCTGTTCCCCACTGTTCTAGGAAAGCCTCAGCAACAAGGCTGACAAAAGGGGGAATGTGCCCCCACTGCCCCACAGGCTCTGCCCCCGCCCCGCAGCAGCAGGACTGCCTCCCGGCTTTAGAGGACACAAGGCACACGGAGCACAGCTCTCCACATCAGCACACCGGTGTGACTTGCGTGCCCAAAAGTGGTTACTGCCGATTGTGCTGCTCAAAACTCAGACACGATGCTCAGCATCTCCAGCGGCACGAAGCAAACTGATCCTGCCCAATTATTACCCAATTGCCACTTTGGGTGAAGTCATGTGTTTACCCCACACCAAATATTGAGAAGTACAGACATGAGGTCATGTCATGGATATACTAAAATGCTTCTAGAAAGAAAGAAAACTTTAGTTATGCCCTAGAAGTAAAACCAAGCCTATTTTGGTTTTGCCTGCTGAATCCTGATGGTATCTTCTCCTTGTATTTTCTGCCTTTTCTATTCAGAAAAATATCCTCCTCTTAGATTATTCAATCTGTGAAAGCAGTTCCCTCATGCCAGCTAGAGATGGTTAAATGAAAAAGCGTTTTTCCCCTTAGTGTTTGTCAAAAGTTAGGTTGGTTGTTTTGAAGTGGGAGAAAGAACTAGAGGAACATGGGCCTGAGGGAGTAAATGGAGGGGATGGAGGGGAAATTGTGTAAGTTTTGATGAAAGATTCCCAGTATTTCAGGAAAAACTGGAAACACTCGACGCAGCCTGTCCAGTTGCATGGCTGGATTTTGTGAACCACCACCAGCATGTGATCAGCCACAGCACATTTCTGCCATTTACTGACTTGGGGCTTAAGGCTCTCTAAATGAAAAATAATTGTGGCTTACTACTATCTCACAATAGCTTTAATTCTGGTTCTGCTGCACTAACTGGACCTATGCAATCTATTACAAGCTTCACTAAAAGTAAAGGTGGGTCACAAATGACCAGGTACCCCTATGAACACACCGTCATCATCCGAGCGGAGGACGCTTGCTGCTACCTCCTGAAACACATCCCTCACCAGCCACCAACGTGCAGAAGGGGAAAAGGGGCATCAGAAATTCGTTTCCCTGCCTGCCCTGTTCCATACTTCACCTGTATGAAGAGACCACAGATTCTGACCCCCTTACGCATGTTCAGTTCAGGCCAAGGCAAGCACTCCCACTGGGGATGCCAAACCTCCTCACTGTCTCACCCTCACCCAGCCTCAGCACCTATCCATTAAAAGCAGTCCCAATATTTATGTAGTAAAGCACCATTTAACCCTCCTGAATGCGATTATCTACCTTTCCGAAATGAGTATTAAAAGACCCAAAAGGGTATTCCCCTTTGTGGGGCCTACACAGCACAGAGCACCAACAAGTTGTACTTAACACATGGGATATAAATCTTCAAGAACACCTTTTGGAGTCTTCTCACATTAGGCTCCTTTGTGTATCTTGGTTGCATCTTGTTTGCAATTTCCATCTGGGAAACAGCCGTACTCCATCACGGCACAGGGAGCTGTCTCTGTCAGCCCTGCACCGACCAGAGCAGAGCTGCATATCAAAACCCAACGTAATTATCCATCTCACAGTTTATTATTTACACATGAGCAATACAGCTGGTGAATATCATAACTCAAGTGTACGTGTAATAAGTTACCACACTGTAGCCATCTCCTGTTGCAACCCTTAAGAAAAACCACATGATGACTTTTCCAAAGTCAAGCTAAAACTGCTGAAGCAGAATGAAGTGCCACTAAACCTGGCTACCTCCTATTTATCATATAATTTCCTGACTGATGGTTCCACAAACCAGCTGCTAAGTGCTGTGTACTCTACTGTCAGCAGACTAACATGCTAAATGGGAGACAGGGAGAATAATGTGCAGAACTAGTGGAGTCAATTTTACAGAGAGAATTCAAATTCTGCTGTGTTTGGGTCAGCCCTCAACACAGAGACAGTAAATACTACATGCTGGGGGGTCCAAAACCACTCCACTTTGAAGAACATTGAATATTTATATGGAAAGACTCTTGGATCAAACACAGACGTGCCAAAGCAGCCATCAGCCAGGGCTTCACTTGAAACTTCATGAAAATGTAATTGCTTGACATGTATTTATATGGAAATACATAGTAAGAAGTTTGCAAAGCAGTAACTCGGGCTGTAGCTAGTTTCATGCTGCTTGTTCATATCCCACCCAGTAACTACTCCATATTAAAGGCACCATCAGAATATTACAGGCACATTCTGCCACTATTATTTGTGCTGTAGCAAGAGTAAAGAATGAGTGAGACTGCTCACAGGACAGAACCGAATCTGGACCTATGTGACTCCTGGCTGTTTGTGAGAGATGCTCTACCTATCTAGAAAACCAGGGGGCAAATTAGCGGAAAAGACAGGATACTACAATGACATCTTAAGGTTTCGCATTCAAAGAGCGAAGACAAAACTCTCACCCTCAGCGAAGAGGATCTCCGCTCACCAAAACAGATCAACAAACTAACTTCCTATTCTGCTGGGAAAGTTACTTACTACTATTTGTAACATGTTAAAAATTCAGGCTGAGTTGCAAATTACCACAACATACGCCAGGCAGTTTTCTTAAAGACATCCAAAGGCAACAATGACTTCTTGGAACAACCCTTCAATTACATCCTTGCAGAGACTCCCTGACATAAGTACAAGAGTCAAGAAAGACAGATGCCGCTTACCCATTTGGAGCCCTCGGTTCCAGTTCAGCAGTAGTATCTGATTCTGTGCTTAAATGTCACTACTTTCAAGAACTTGTAAGGGTAAGCCAAGGCACTGGAACTTAAACCACGTTCTGTACTCATTGCTGACCACGGCAGATTATGCCGCCTTCTGCATTCTCTGCTGCCTACTACTGAAAGCTTCTTTTGGATCCTCTCCTGCATAGCTAACAGGGTCTGCTCCAAACAAAATGGGAGCTACAACTGCCTGAAATGCTACAAACTCATCAGTTTTAGCACTGTGAGATTTTCTGAGAAATATGTCAATTTATGCTGACTTTTTGTTGTGCTAAACGTGCCCTTTTATTTCTTCTTCAAGAATCTTTCTTGCCGCCTTAAAGAAAGTGAATAGGATCATCTCTCTCAAATTACAATCATTCCCATACAGGAAGAAAGAAGAGACCTACACTTGTTCCCTGAAAGTCAGCAGCCTGGGGCTCTGCTGCAGCATCAAGGGAAAGAAACAGAGAAGTGACAGGTATGGTCCTTGCTGCTGAACAGCAAACCTGAACTGAAGACTGATGAGATGCAGCAGGCAGCAGCAATTCACTGCATGACTTGGTGGAAAGGTAGATGATGCCAGCTGGTTCAATGGCGCTGTGCAACACCTGGAGACAACAACAAAGAGGTTGGGCTGCTCCAAAGCTCACTGAAGTTAAGGATAACTTTTCTGTAGTCTCTCAAGCCTTACTCAGTTAGGGTTAAGTCATTTCACTTAGGGCACCACTACATTTAGAAAGTTCACCTGTGGAGGTAAGGCTAGAAAAACACTCTGCTCTCAGCTAACCCACTTGCTCCAGCTCCTTGTGATTCCTGACAAACCCTTGAGGAAGGAAATGACAGGCTGCGTTTTTCAGACATCAAGAAAACATTTCCTACCACTGAAAATGCCTGCATTGGCTTGAGCGCGCCTGGTGTGGCCTTGATGCCTGCACCTCTGTCCTGAGAGTGGGGCCAGGCAAACACAGGACTCAAGCCCAACAAAGGAAGCCCTCGTAAGCTTTGTCCTCAGGGCGATCATCTTACCAAATTAAATGTCAGGACTGAGCCAAGAGCAAAACTCTATCTCAGATGTAACCTCATTTGAGGTGAAATCTCCTTCCCGCCTAAAGTCATTGTGGTCTTGATGTTAAACTCGGTGGTACCAAGCTTTCACACCAGATGTAACAGTATCAGGCAAGATACAGCCTCCCGCTAATGTCTTTTCAATACACAGAACAGTTTTGAAGAGTTTGCCAGCAAATTTCTACACTTCCTTTGGTTCGTAAGCTGATCACCAGATGGGAATTCTCTAATATTCAGGTTTGCGGAGTCCCTAAGGGCACCACTGTTTCTTCACATACATTTGCTTCAACTGATCTGAACTTAATGGCATCGCCAGGTTTTATGGCAAGAACTAGTTCCTTTTTTGCCAAGCAAAGATCTTATTTTGGATTTCTCTTTAATTACAGCATGCATTACGGCTCAGTAAGAGCACATGTTGACTTGGAGGGGGGTTTAGCTCTCTTTCAAAAAG